TATGCACTTACAGAGAGTCTGATGATTTACATGCGCTCAACGAATAATACTTTCAGCAAAAAGCTTTACATGTAAAGTCAAGTAGGAGGCCATGACACTTTCCCCATTGCTCTCACTTTGTGAACTTGCATCTGTAGACTTAAATCCAGTCAAATGTGAAAGGATTTTAAGGGGATCTTCTAGCAGTCAATTGTTTTTAGTTTTCGCTCCAATGTGAACATTAAGACATTTGACAAAATAATGTCCACATTTTTTTTGGGCAAAAGAAATCAAGACTCAGGTGCTTATTTCTACATTTGAGAGAATAGGGATTTAAACCAATATTTGCTCATTTATAGTTCATATAATAAGATGGTCTTTCTCCTCCTGACAAAATATTGCCTAAAAGGTGGGGAAGCTTCAATAAATCAGTGTTTTATTCCATGTTAATTTCCTAAAATCAGACTTGGAAGTAAACTGCTAGACTGGTACTCTTGGCCAAGTTAGGATTACACAATGTGGGTGAAAATAAAGACAGATATGTCAAAGTCAAACATTAGACAAAAGGCAGAAGTCACTACAATCCAAATCCTAAACTGAGGATTAGAAACACTTCATTTCTTGCCAATAAAAGCCACAACTTTCCAACCCCTCACTTTAACCAGTTTGTAAATGTGATCATGTAAGAATTACTCAAACTTTCGAAAGTAAATGTAAGAATCACTTTCAATATAATTACAGTGGGGTGGTTAATTTATTACAAAATAACATCATCTGGCTGTCTGTTGATTTATCAATGTTAAAACTGTCATTTCTTTATTAAAAGTCTGTCATATAGAATATCATGAACGGAGTTAACGGTGCTAAATCAATATTACTTGCTTCTTTATCCACCGGTGAGAACTGAAGGAATATAAATTGCAGAATATTATTGTATAAAGCTCTATAGAGGCATAAGCACATGATATCTTAGTGGTGTCCATGGAGAGGGATGAGTAACTCACTTTGTAGAAGTCCTGATCCTCCACAGTAATTCCACTGACAGCGTAACTGGAGTTGACCAGTTTATCATGCAGAGCCTTCTTCTCCTCGACACTAATCTGAAAAGTTATTGATGAGAATGATGAATTTCAGCGGAGAGCGGCACACGCACAACTATGGCAGTGTTAATACATTGAAGGCTTGTGGAAACAGAACACCATTCATCAGACCAAGTTGCCTTTTTCATCCTGGCATGACACATTATGTGTTGATAAATTATTTAATACTTTTTTCCCCCCATTTTTCCATTAAGTATTAACCTTCATTTTATGAAAACCTGCAACAGTGCTTTCCTCAAGAGGGGAGAAAGACACACTTAAAACTCAGAGAGAAACTAAACACATTAGAGTAAGGTTAGAAAGGTGCGACTGCTAAAAATAGCATTTATGTACATTTATCACCTATGAAATATTATTTGGTCTCAAATACAAATTTCTCAAAAACTATAGTGAAGAAAAAACACAAAACATGAAACATTTAAAACCGTATTCAAGGAAAACCCTTAACACTAATGGTTTCTCTAACAGTGATCAAACAGCACCATCTAGTGACATTCTTTATAGACCCTTTGAGTTACAGAATGTATCTACATAAAAGGTACAAAAAATAGGCTTTCAAAATATTTAAATGGAGAGAAATGTACCGTGTCATACTGCAGATTATTTCTGTGAAGAAGTTCAAGCTTTTGTTTTGGATCCAGCTTATTGAAGCGGTAGCGGAAAAGATCAACTTCCTGTTGTATAAACCAGCGTCTCAGATCCTCCCTTTACAATACAATGAAGACAAACATGTATCAGTTGCATAATCTTTTAAAATCACGTTTTCTTCACAACAAATATTTAACAGAAACTACAGATTTACGTTTGGCAGTAGGCCAGTCTGAGGATGAAGTGGGAGATATGGTCCTTTCTGCGTTTCTCTTGTTCAGTTGGTCCACTCTGAGGTTTTCTGTCATCCTGAATGGGTTGAAAGAGGAAAAGCATGACTGTAGACATTTATATTTTCAGTAATTACTTCTTAATAACTTTTGTTGTCTTGTTGGGTATAATTTTAGTTGTGAGGTAATACCAAAATGACAGAGTAATTGTTTTTACAGTCATGTCTACAATACCTGAAAGCCACCTTCCATTAATTAAGGCTATATTAAGTCACAATAGTTTGGAAAGTAAGAAACCTTTTTTATGCCCAACTCTTATTTCTCTGTGATCACTTCTCTTGCATTTGGATACTACTATTCACACATTGTACAGAAGATGTGGTCACTTTAATGTATGTTTGTTTTTGATGTCAATCAAGTGCACAATTATGAAATAATTTGATGGTCTTAAAATTCGAAGTCAATTTGACTCTGTTTGTAGCTGTATAGTCTTTATGAGAGTCTACCCGACAGATACAGCAGGTTCATCTACAACTTGTGGTCATTTTGGACACTGCAGATTGTTGAGCTGTTATGAAGTGTATTACATATCTTGGACAGGTATTTCAATTATTTTGTCCAGCCCGTTTATATCAATGAGTGTAGGCTCAATAACAGGAACACTGGTCAGTAATACAATACAGTGGCAACTGAGTGTAATTTAAGGAAAGAAAAATATGATTACAGTGTGAAGCCCTAAGTATCTATAAACATGTTGGATCAGTGCTGTGTAAAAACGCTTAAAACTCTGTTGTGTGTCTTGCTAAACATACTCACAGCTTCGGGTCTGTAAAGAAAGTTCAGCGCTTTGGATTCAACTTCCAGTTTCTTTATGTACTGGTCTGAGTGTTTCACATAGCTCACTCCCAAATTTTCAATGGTCTTCAACACTGCAGTGGCATTAAAAGAAGACGTTTTAAATGTTACACAGTCACATAGAAATCAACGAACATTTCACATTTAGTTAGCCTGTATTAGATCCAGGTCTTACATTTAAGTCGTTCCACAGCAAAGGTTTCAAACTCCGTGAGAGAGATGTTTTCCAGAGGAGGCTGCCCGTAGAACTGCAGAGGATGACTATAGAGCTCTGTCTGTGAGTTGGTGGTGAATTTCTTTCTCCTGCTTGAAAACTGCATGGTTCCTGATGGTAAGGGAAAACATGAATGTTTTTGAAAATTGACAATAATGCATCACAAGACGATAGGCTATTACTATTCACCATGGGGGTATATTTGGTGCAATTTTTTATTTGAGAACACTAAGAAACTAAAACAAGTTGCATGACTTTTGTTCTCCAATGTACCGTGCTTTACTGCTGTTAATCAATGTTCCATCTATGTTGCCCACACCAGGGTGCAGGCATTTAGGGATTCGATAAAATAAAGATATATTGGAAAGCATAATAAAATGCATATTTAGTCCCTATAACTTTTCTACTTTCTACAAACCACAAATCATAATTCAACTGTAAATAGAAGGGTTAAGACTAGGTGAATATTCATGCAGAAAGCATTTCTCCCTGTCAAAATGTTTTAGAACTGCAACAATGATTAAGTGTTAATTCTATTTATATTCTCCCTTGCTGTAAAGCACTATTCGTTGTTGTATTGTTGTATGACAGGTGTTAAATAAAAACAGTTTGTTATTATTCTACAGCTGCCTTCACTAAACTCAGTAAGGTGTATTATGATATTAATTTCACAAGATGTATAAAATCTGGCAAGGAAACCGTGAGTCCACAAGAAAGACAACTAAACGTAACTAATGATACCAGCTGGCGATTCATTATATAACAATGTGTTAAGCAGTAACATAGCTGTTAGCTCTTTCACATTTAGCCTGTAACCCTCAAGCTAAAAAGCCTGTACCCTTAGCCCTCAGTTCACAGTTACATTAGTCAACAACACATTATCTCAAACATAGAACAGCAACGTCTTCGTGGTGAGGGTTGGCTATCTTTACAGAAACTGTCCTGGAAACTGTGTTGAAGGCAGCAAACGTCTAAAACTGTCTCAGCAACTTATCACACAAATACGACAAGTACTTAAAACATAACAAAATGTTGTATTGTTGTTAAATTACCGATAAGATGATGGGGTTGTTTCTTCTCTGCTCAAGCCCGCCAAACAAAGTGGGTTGTTCAACAAACGCGGGTAAATTATGACGATTTTAGCACAGTCAGGAAGAGAAACGCTGTCATAATGTGGGGGGCGCTCGTTTAGGTTGTCCGCGTGACCCGCCGTATCTCACCTGATGATAATAACTTTAATACAGAAAAGACAATTAATCCTTTTACATTTTTGCATGATAACTATCAATCAGTCGTCTTGCATTAATAGTTGATACATGTTATTATGTTTATGACTGCCGTTTTCGCCGTCGACATAGGTGCAACAGGAACTTTCGGAAGTATCTGAACAACATAACAAGCGCACCCAGAACACGTGGTTCATCTCAGACAGAAATCCATGACTGAAAAACAGATTTTTTTGTTGTTGAAAGGAATATTATTAAATTGCAAGATTAAGGAACTATCATTATTCATCAAGACGCTTTCTGAACTTAATGGTAAAGGTTCACTTGGAAAAACTATAGATGAGTAATTCAATTGTATCCATTTGTATGCTATTTTATGATTCTACCTCACCACATATCAAAGGGAAATGCTGTATATTTTACCTTAGGCCTACTACATTAAATTATATTCATACAAATATAATAACTAATACATAATGATAATTAATTATTATTATAGTATCAATTATCAATAAAGATTCAACCAACAAGGAGAAAGCTATACAGTATTTAAGAATAAGCTCCTTTACCTGCTGAAACACTAAAGCGATGAGTACATGAATGTATCAATAATGATTGCTCAATATTTTCATATATATATTATTCAAAATTGTCCATTCTGCATGATACATTATTTTATATCTGATACTTTGGGTTTAACTTGATTCGAAATCATACACAATTCATACCAGTTGGTGTCGCTAATGAGATATGTCCTTGTTTGGAAACCGACAACAAGAGGTAGTAGAAGAAGAAGAAGACTCCGCTGCTTAGCAACAAACATTAGCCAGCTAGCCTGTTGCCTTTAGCTACTCTCATGCGCAACGTAGGTAGGCTTGCGGATAGATAGCAATGCTTTTTCATCCCGTTCATGTCACTTATTCAACTCAGTTGTCGATGTTAATTAAAGTTTACCTGTTGCTTTGAAGTGTAGAACATTCGGTCTGTGGAGTCTTTAGCTATATATCATTGACGGGCGGAGGAGAAGGCTCTTTTCACTGGGAAAAGTGGCTAACATTAGCTAGGAAGCCTTAGCAGCGGAGTCACTAGCGTCTCCTATTGCCACAGAGGGAGGCTGGAGATATGTGATTGTGGTTCAGGCGGCTGATGAGCTCATCTAATGTTGGCAGATACTGGATGAGTTGAAACGTGATTTTACAGGTAAGAAATTTCCCTCTCTATGGATTTGCTAGCTTTAATGTTTAATGTTTCCTCACTAGCACAGTGAGTCCTTTAGTCAGCTGTAACGGACTAAACAGTTCCAGCAGCTGCTTCGTACCTAAAGACCATCCTGCCACCTATTCAACAGGTCATGTCTTAGTACACAGGTCATAGTACACTATCTTTATATGTTTCTGTCCCTTTAGTAGATTGGTATATTAGACAGTATTCTCATTTATTCTGTAAATGTTATAGTGTGTATTCTTCAAGTCTATCTAAAATCTCCTCTGAATGTCTACTGTGAATATACACACACACACACACACACACACATGTATATATTTGCTTTTAAATGTTTATTTTATTTATATTTTATTCTATTTTTAAGAAATGTTTTAATTCTTTAAATTAAATGTAATCTATCTATCGATCTATCATTTATTGAGCAAGGCAAGGAATCCTGATTTAAGGGAACTTAACAGAATTAAAGGTTAAACAAATACTTACTTCCATCAAATTCTTTGGGGATGCAACTTACAGCAACATTAATCCGAATCAGAAAAGTCAATTTACTCCTACTGGCATTATAACATCAGTATTCTCTATGTGCCCCAACATATTGACTTTAACGGGGCAGGCCTGGGTAAAGTGATGATGAGTCTGTGAAGATGACTCACTGTTAAGGAGAGGAGGTGTATTATTTTCTACATTGTGTATTTTTACATTTATCAGAGTTCATCTTAATGTGCATTGTATGAAACCATGCTACTGTGCTAAATAAAATATATGTTTATATTTTTCTCATGTCTTTGAAACATAGAGTATGAACAGGTTGAATCATCTCATTGTAAGTAGAAAACATCATGATAACTAGGAGAACCAGTAGATAAGATGTTTTCTGACGCAGGTACTGTATAGAAAACCACCTGTTAAATGTCTGATAAAGGAGTGGATGGAAATGTTGCAGGTTCAGGGTCTTTTTTGAAATGTTTGTAGAAGATTTCCAAATTGATCTCGTATTTTCAGATTGAACCACACTTTTTGTAGAAATATCACATATTAAACGTGATTTAAAGTGATGTACAATGTGCTATACCAACCCTGGTATTGGTGTTAACACTATGATAATTTAAATGGCCCAATTATAAGTCATTGTGTGTATTATCAGAGTTTCTGAGACTAGTGATCAACCCTTGTTTAAATGTCGATTATGTTGTTCTGTGGTCTTCATGTAGCGCAGTGACAATCTATGGAGAGTACTTACCAACTTCATAACCCATTAGTTTCGCTCGGTTGTTTCTGTGGTCCTAATACACATTTTAAAAACACATCTTTAAATGATTACACTGAAAGATGAGATGACTGCAAATGTGTAACTCAGCTTTTGAGTCAAATTTGAAAGAAAGGAATGGGTCCAGAATCTTTGCCTAACATGAGTTAGATCAATTTAAGAGTTTGCCATGATCAAATCTAATCCTCAGTTCCCTTTTAACTAATTTAAACATTCTCATCAAAACAAAAAGAGCAAGGGGGTTACTTCAAGCTGTGTTTGCCTGCATGTTATAACATCTGCTGCGTCATTCAGCTCAATTATAGTTGATGAATACTATTGTTGACTGCAATACATATTGTGACTCAATTCCGAACAGACTGTTGGATTCCACAGTCACACAGTAGGCTGTCGGTACCCACTGGGAACAGCTTTCCCACAGTATTGTTTAGCTTTGCACTCAGCCGCTACACGCCTAGAACTGTGGAACACCCAGTTGCTATGTGGAGTCTGCTGCTCGCACTGCTAATGGAAAAATAAACACATTGCACGGTCGCTGCAAACACAATCCTTGTACAATTTACAACAGTTAAATCAATGCTAGCATACATAACAGATTACAGGACAATTCTAGGAAAGCTCTTTAGTACAGGGTACTCCCTCCTAGGGATGCATATCGTTGACTTTTTTGCGATACCGATACCACTGAACGATACCGATACTCAACCGATACATATCGTGATACTTTCATGTTGCATAAGGGAAACATTTTATCATCCCGCAATTACTCCCATGAAGCGCTTTATTATATAGTTAACATGTCAAATGAATATTAAATTCAATTGTGGGACTTGGACCTTTTAGTACTGAACAAACAATGAAAAACACGTTATCTATGAAGAAAACTGATTCTGCAATATCATTTATAACAACCATCAGGCGGGAATAGTACATCTTGTCAATGGAAAAATAAAATAGCACCAGTATAATCAATATTCAACCTGAGATTCGACTGACCAGAGAACACATAAAGGATCATGAGATCTCGGCATTGCACATAAAACAAATAGCATCCTTAAAATCAACATTTGCCTGATGAAAGAAAACAAATCCCATCACAGTTCAGTTTTGTGCATTCATCTTCAAGAAGATGAGCATATCTGCTCTCTGGATCCAAACGGGCCCTTTCACAGCATGGATATCACCTGCTAAACTGAACACTCTCTCGCTTGGCACGCTGCTTCCCTGAACACAAAGGTACTTGGTTGCCATACGAGACAGCATTGGTTGGAGATTGGATGTGTTGCCACCTTTCCCAGAAATAAACTTCTTGCAGTGGTTACAGACCCCACCATTCAGACTGGCAGTCATATGCAGCCACACTTTAGATTTTCAAAAGTGACTTGGTTGCGGAGTTTCACTGCGAAATTGACATCGTAATTCCGACGGTTTGGGCACAAGTTTAAGGATATTATGCCTCACTTTTATAAAAAAAAAAAAGTATCAAAAACCGGATCTGATTTCGGTACGGTATACCGTAGCCACCAGTAACCGGTATTTCGGTAATACCGGGAACCGGTATGCACCCCTACTCCCTCCCCCCCCCTTGATATTCTGGTGGTAACCTGTGCTGCTGTTAGTGATTACATTTCTACTACGACAAGATACTTTTGAAATGTTGTCAAAACATAAGGAGCAATTGCTTTTAAGATCTTGTAATTAAATGTTTTTCAAATAAGGTAACAGACAGTTGCCACCTTAGTGATTTGTAACATAACTGCACCTGTACCTGCTAAGCTTTTGGCTTGAATAAGAATCATCTTATAACAGTTGACTACTCGCATGTTTATTCAATACGTTTAATCAGAACTACTTTTATGTGGTAATCCTAAATGTTCATGGTATTAGTATATTTGCTAGACCATGAGGTCCGCCCCAACCCTGTGTTCTTTTAAATCAAGGTTACAAACCTTTCATTTGAATGCTGCCTATCCTGAGATCCTTTAACCGTGCCTTATCATTGCACTTTTAGCTGCAGCCAGTATTTTATCGCTTTTATGAATTGTCTTTTTTGTTTGTTTTTAATTATTATGTTTTAAATGCCTATGTGAAGCACTTTGAATTGCCTCTGTGTCTTAAAATGTGCTATACAAATAAACTAACCTTGAACCTTGACCACGTCATACAACAGTTATTATAAATCATATCAGTGCGTAGGAACATTTAAAAAATCACTACTAAGTGTTTTAATGTTTCCTCGGGCACAGCACAAGTGCTCCAGAACATGTCTCATACAGATATGCTTTCTTTTCTTTTTTTACACTTGCAGGCGGTATATGTGTTGGTGTCACATCCCTAAATCTACCCAGGCAGAGTGGAACTGAGTGATCCGGCCAGACATCGCCACCATGTTGGAGGAGGACATGGAAGTGGCCATCAAGGTGGTGGTGGTCGGCAACGGAGCTGTCGGCAAGTCCAGCATGATCCAACGCTACTGCAAAGGCATCTTCACTAAGGACTACAAAAAGACCATCGGGGTGGACTTCCTGGAAAGGCAGATACTGTACGTGACGTTATTCACAAAAGAATCACATTCCTCTATCAATTACGGCCTGTATTTTAAATGATCCTCCATCCCTTCTTATGTTTTAGTGTGAATGACGAAGAGGTCAGACTTATGCTGTGGGACACGGCCGGGCAGGAGGAGTTTGACGCCATTACTAAGGCCTACTACAGAGGTAAGACCCCCCCCCCCACACTGTGACGAATATAATCCTGCTGCCTCAGGTCACTGACCCTCCTCGCTGCTGGGGTTAAGATTTCTCATTGTACGGATAACTGGCAGCTCAAAAACTAGCAAATATTTAATTGAGCTGAAAGTGAATCTCCAGTGGGGCGGTTCTGAAGTCCACCAAATGTTTTTACATCCTCGAGGGAGGGGGTGAGTTATGTATCATTTTTAAAAGGATGAACAGCTTGAAAACATTAACTGTCGTCTTGCATTCCAGGTGCCCAAGCATGTGTGCTGGTGTTCTCGACCACAGACAGAGAGTCGTTTCAGGCTATCGACAGCTGGAGGGAGAAGGTGGAGGCCGAGGTGGGAGATATCCCCACTGTCCTAGTGCAGAACAAAATAGACCTCCTGGAAGACACCGTTGTAAAAAAGTAAGTGGTTGTTTTCTTTAGTGCAGATATCACACTAGAACAGAAGAGCTATTGAATATTAAGGACACATGGTAATTGATTTTCTTTCCTTGCATCGCAGCGAGGAGGCAGAAGGTTTGGCTAAAAGGCTCAAGCTGAGATTCTATCGAGCTTCAGTAAAAGAGGACCTTAATGTCAACGAGGGTGGGTTACTGAAAAATAAAAAACCTGCAAGTGAAACAGTGTGATTCTAGATTTGTTAATACTTTAATATCTCTGCTCCTTTTCTAGTTTTTAAGTACTTAGCTGATAAGTACCTTCAGCGGCTCAAACAGCAAACGGCAGAGGAGACAGAGGTGCTCCATACAACCAGCAATAAAATAGGTGAGGAGACTTTCTTTCTTTATTATGTCACATTTTTATTACTTTATTAGAATGATATTAATGATAGATTTGTTGGTTTTCTTTAGGTGTTTTTAATACCACAAGTAGTAATGTCTGCAACCAGAGCTCCAGCAACGGCAGAGAAGTCATCTCCTTACGACCTAACAAACAAAGGACCAAGAAGAGTAAAAATCCTTTTGGAAGCTGCAGCCTAATTTAGATAAAACATATTTTAGTTTTAGTTACTGACTATTGTTTCTAAGACTAAATTGGTCATTGTTGTATTCTGTGGAGGTAGCCACATTTAGAGACCAAAGCCCAAACAGACTGGGAAATACTCTACTATACTACTTTAATAACCTGATGATTAATCTGTACCCTAAGTTGTTCCCCTACATTGATGGTTACATTTCCTTTGATTCCGCCTTGGATCTCCACCAATGACCTGCGCACAAAATATTTTCCTTGTGGTTGCCTTAAGTAACAGCAACAGCTGCAGCTACACTACAGTACTGTATGTAGTTTATATATCACATGACATACAATCCTCTCGTCAAAACAGCAAACGTTGCACTCTGTGAAAACTCTGTATGACTTTTAAACTCACCCATCCTGTGTTTGACGTCTGTTTGCATGTATTGTAAAAGATTCACAGATCATTTTAAACCATATTTTTGGTTTAAACTATTCTGTTTATTGTGGACAAAACACGATCCAGAGTTATTCTCTGTGCAGAAGTATTTTTGTACGAATCACTAGTGTTGAGTGATATTTTCACTGAAGTGTTGACAGTGCCAAATTCCCTCTTTCCGACCTGTAGATAAATATGAACACTGCAGTGACATGGATGTATCATAAAATAATAGAATGTGCTTTTACGTATAACCAAATATGAAACACTAACTGGTCTTATATATGTCTGCTTACAGCTTGTTTGAGGGTTTGTTAATCAACACTTTCACAGATGTAAAACACGAGTCACAGTTATAGCGATGCGTTTTTGATTGCAGTTGTTTACATATTTAATTGTGCTTTTTCTTTAACTTTGGTACAGCTTTGAATTACACGTGGTAAGTCGCAGACTAAAAACTATTATTTAGACGACACAACTCTATTTTTATTATTTCAAACACTATATTTTTTACATTTCAATCACTAAGCATGGTTTAATTTCTTTGTTGTTGATTCAATGGTTTGGCTTCTGCAGTATGTAATCAATTTATTTTGTAAATGTCGATATCTGTAGTGTCGGTACGAAAAGCCGATCTTCAGGATGCGATATCTTGCTTGGGTGTGCTTGAATATGCAAGAAAATTCAGTTTTTTCTCAATACACAAGGGTACTTAAAAGATCTCTAAACTAATTCCCAGACCTCAAAACAGCTAGCTGAGAACTCTATGATACTGCCTTGTCTGCATCAGGTTTTCCTAAAGCTCATTATCTGAAAGACGTCAGTTTCCTAAGCACAAAAAGAATGTGGTGATGTGGAAAAGGCCACTAACAGACAATTTGAACATTTACATGTGAATTATTTGAATGTTTTACATGCAATTGGTATAGGACAACTGGGAGTAAACATGCTCGATTTGGAACAGATTATTGCTATAAGCCTTTCCCAGATTTAAATGATTAAAAAAAAACGTAATTCTCAAGACACTTAGATAAAACGGTTGTGAAAATCCCAACAGGTGCTTTTAAGATGTTACAGTTTATTGTGTCACAATTTAGGAGTTCTCATTTGGTTGCGCTGTTTTGAGGGGGGGGGGGGGGGGGGGAAGAGAGAGTGTGTCTTAACTGTAATGCATGCAAGCCTTTTTTTCCACATCAGTGAATGTTGAACCGCGGCTACAATGAGTCGTCCTTGTTTACATTCTTCCCACTCACCACCATTTTAATCCCTACTCTTGCTGTTTGTTTAAAACTGCCTGCACAGTAAATCTGTAAATAATTATTTCCTGAGCTTTGTAACATTGTGTGTACTTTGCCTTTTTTGCTTTTTGACTGAATGGATATAGCGCACTTTATCATTAAGATGGAATATAATCTTAAAGAACCATAAATTGAAAACTAACCATACTTATGTGCTGTCACTCAGGTGTTGTAATGATCTTTGTGTCTTACTGTTAATATACCTTATCACACTTCATGAATCAATCTCACACATTTAGATGTATGCTTTCAGACTGACAAAGACAACACTCATTGTTGGATTTTTGTTTTTAACAGTGAAAAAAAAATGTATAACAACTTTTAAGTGTGCCACACAACTGCACACCCAATATTATGTTTGTGGTGGGGAGTTGATGCTTATATGACATTAATAAAACTTTACTTTTTTCTTGAGCATCCAGTGTCTAATTCCAAGTGACAATATTTCTCTGAAAATACAATCTTTTTTGCATTTTGATCATTGCCATTGTTCATACGCTAAATGAATATTAGCGCTAAGATGTCCCAGCTTCATCTATTGTGACAGAAGACATCTTTCCTTAACATTTAAGAGAAGTATTTTTTATTATGTTTTTGACATACATGTACAATCTGACATCAAAACTACTTTGTGCAAATATGAACTAAAACCCACAGCTAAATGTGATTGGTGTTGCTTTCACACAGAGGTAGTTTACACACAACCAAAACAGTTACCACGGTGATACAATGAAACAGGAAATACTTTATCATTAGATTCATTGTCATGCATTTGGTTTTACTAAGAACTGTGACCTACCTCTAATGGTGAGTGCATTATATGATCACACATTGTGAACTGGGAATACACACTAAATAATCCATATTAAGAAGTTCAGTGTATGGCAATCATTTTAAGTTAACACTCCCTACAGTATGACTTACTGTATTTTTGGCCCTAATGTTCAGTATCATTGTAATGTAATGGTCTTGCTGCTACTTGTAGAACATTAGTATAAGATAATAACAGTTCTTGGTGAGGTTAGTGGCATAAAAGAGGCATTTTGATTTGTTGACTGGTGTTATTGACAGCCATTGGCTTGTGGGTCCTACAGTTTCTGGTGATCCATAATCTTGATGTTCTTTCCAGCATTTTCAACGTTCCTCACCAAAGTCTCGAGCCTCCTCTTGATCTTCTTCTGGTCCTCCAGGGCACAGCTGATCACTAGGGCCTGAAACTTCTGGTCGATGGGAACGGGGGGGGCCTCGGTCACACAGGCTGCGTACACGGCCAGCAGACGCTCCCGCCCGCTGTTCATGTCATCAAGCAACTTCTTCACTATTTCATCGATTAAAGATGTGGCGTTGCGCAGGGCCTCCTCCTGCTGGGAGTTTCTGATGGTGCCAACAGAGACCTCCACACACAGCGCCCGGCCCATCAGACGGTTGGCAGTCAAAGACAACTCTTCTCTCTCCCCTGAAAGATACAAAACAAGAAATAAATGAATGCTACATCTTCAGCGGACACAATAATTAAAAAAACATTAATATTCTGGTGTCAAATCCTTGTCCTCGTTGTTACTGTGTCGAGTGTGTGCTCCAGCATCCTCCTACAGATGGTGGATTAGAAAAAATGCATAACGCCCAAAGCATAGTTTTTGAGTCTCTTTGTAATCGTTATGCATATTTTTGTTGTTTGTGTTTGGTAATTTGTTTGTTGTTTTGTGTCTCAGTGGCCTTTTCGTGTCTCTTTCTGGTCATTTTATGTATTTGTGTTAATTTGTCATCTCTTTCTGATCCGTATGTGTCTCTTTAGTGACACTTTGAACCCCTGTATGTAAAGCACTATATAAATAGGCTGGGCGCAGGGCCGCCCCTCCCTACTACACGCAGATCACGCAGACTGCGTTGGGCCTCATCTTGCGGAGGGGGCCTCATCTTATGGGCAAATGCGGCACAATTCCTCTAATGCGCAAATGCGGTGCAATTATGCGCTCCGCAGTTACCCGGCTGCGAGGTTCCGGTCAACGATCGCGACACATAAGGGGGGCCTCATGCAACACCTTTGCGTGGGGCCACAAGTTGGCCAGGGGCAGCGCTGCTAGGGTGACTACTGTATTGACCTATGGTGGATATATGTTAAAGGTCCCCTATGATGCTGTTTTTCATCAATATATAATAGGTCTCAGATATCTCCTGCGTCTTGGCCAAAAACTCGCACTGGAACATACCGACTTCAGCCGACGGCCAAGTAGCACGTACGCACTGCGCATGCGTGAGTGGCAATAACTCTCCTTACCAGCAGGCGGGGGTAGTGTGTATTCGTCATTCAAAAGAGGCAACCAGAAGACCGACTGCGTGATATATACAAACAACAAATAGCGTATGCGTTCCATTTTCACTCTCGTCTATCACAGACTGTTTGATGAAAGATAATAGCCGCCTGTGTGTGCCCAATCGTTTGTTTGCGTACCTCACTTCCGTTTCGCTTCTCATGCACTGATTCGATAAGCTGAACAGCCAATCAGAGTGATTTCTTTTGCCGACAGCCTCCGCTCCCGATTCAACATGTTCAATCGGGAGCCGAAGGTGTCGGCAGGGCAGGCCCTAGACATTTTGGTGCCCTAGGCGAGATTATGATTTGGTGCCCCCCCCCCCCCCTCCAAGCAATACACAATAGAATATATAAAGAATAAATGAAAAATCTCTACAAAAGACCAATACACTACGACAGGGGTCGGCAACCCCTGGCACGCGTGCCACCAATGGCATGCGGCACCGTAACCAGTGGCACACTAGGAATAAGTGGAATAAGTGTGCAAAATATTTAAATTTTATTTTCGGATCCTGAACGAGACCGCCGCCAGAGCGTGTCTCCCCGTTACCTGCAGAAGGAAGCCATGCACGCAACGCAGCCCCACTCTCTTTAACTCCAGGCGACTTTCTGCCGCTTTCCTCCGTAATGCAGTGCTGATATTTTCACCACAGAGGAAAGCACTTCACAAATTGCATTACCCATAAGGAGCTGTAAAAATGCCGCAGTTTTTGCGTGGCGATCGATATCGGCCGATACTCACTCTCTGCCGATCGATCGGTGCTCTCTAAAAAGGCCGATCGCGAGACGTAACATACATGACACTTTTCTCTGTGTGCGGCAAAACAAGCTCGCCAAAATGGCTTCACCAGTCTGGCAGTATTTTAAGGTGTCCGAAAATGACAATAAAATAGCGGTTTGCAACGTGTGTGAAGCAGAAATCCTGCAGCTCCACCCGCTGTGACGGACCGGTGAGCGGAGCAAAACACACAAGAGTTAGACCTAACACACTTAGCTATTTTATCTACCTCTGGAACAAGCTAAACTAGTTATAAATATATTTATTCTTCACTGTCGGGTCACTCATTACTAGATCAGTGAGCTGCATGAGATACTGACAGGCTGTCAGGAGAGAGAGAGAGAGGGGGAGAGAGGAAAAGAGAGCGCTTCCGCTCATTTCTCCCGTGTTATTATCCAAAGTTAATGTAAACTTGAATAATGTAGGCTACTTCATTTGAATGTAACAATTATGTTGGTTGTTGTTTGTGGAAGCACCAGTGAATGAGCCCCATTAACTGAGTTTTAAACATCACTTTTCACGAGTGTTTTCGTCGAGCTCTTCAACCCCCTCAATCTGGTGCACTTTGAGCACACAATGACAAGAGACTAGATCTAGGGAGTACAACTCTAAAACACCCATATGAAAAAGATCGGTTTACATTTTAATATAAAAATAAGTATGTGAACATAACCAATAACCTACCATAGCCAATAACAAATAAATGTAACATATTTTATTTTTGTTGTTCATTCATATCTTATTTTACCTAGTAAACATTTATTTATTCATGCATTTTTTTTTTTAATATCTCCGGTTTTAAACGATATACGGGGCTGTCGGCTGTGCGTGGTGATGAAAAGCTGGTTCGAGGGGCCCCCAGTGAATGTTTGCCTAGGGCCCCCACAGACTCTAGAATCGGCACTGGTCCTATAGTATACATTGGAATGATTTCAAACCTGTTTTTATTCATCCTAATAATTATAAAGGTGTGCCTTGGAAATATTTGTTTACATAAATTGTGACCAAACCGTTTGAGACCCACTGAGATAACTTAGACTAAAGTGAACTATCTAAACACTCAGAGTCCTTTACCTCACTGAGCTGTAGTTATCAGCCTCAATCCAACAACAATCAGCGGTACCGATCTCTCTCTCTTGCTCGCTCGGAGGCTCTCTCTCATTTTGGCTGTGAGCTGCGGGCGCCTGGTAAGTCAACACTTTCATCCCTTACAGCGCCCATCGTACAGGGCAAATGCAAAATGTTGCCGGCCTGGGGCATACTTTCCAACCTTGAGACCTCAGAAATCGGGAGCATTTCCAAAACCACCGCGCGGGCGGGGAGCCGTGGATCGCCGGAGCTGTTTTAGATTAACATTAACATGCTTATTGTAGTTGTAATTGCACTGCCTTGCGGCCTGTAGCACCATCCTTGATGGAGCATATGTGTGGGCTGGACCTGTATTTTACAGGAAAGGAGTGAGCAGAGAGTAGAATTGTCGATTCTTGTTCTGTTTGCTGTGACTATCTTCCTCACCCTCTCAGACATCTATTGACGGCCGAAATCGGCTTGGTGTGTCCGGGCCTTTAGATGAAAACAAGGTGCCACGCCCCTCTGAGAGATATTTGGTTAAAAATAACACAATTAGCTATGGTGCTCTAGGAGGAGATTCAGGTGATAAGGTGGGCGGCAGTTACCTTGGTTGGTTATTGGCTAATAACGTGAGGCAAAAACACTTTATGATATCATAAAGTGGCCAAAATCTGATCAGCTCATTTTCAGACAGGTTTTTATATAAATGGATCAGGAGAAAAAGAGAGTGAATCTTTTTTCCTGAACCTTTCAGAATCTCTTTACACAGAGTACATGTTTATGTATAAAAGACATGAAAAAGTGGATTTTGCATAATAGGTGACCTTTAAATGGGAAATTAGGAAACACTGTATTAAATGTAATAACCATTTGTTTATATCCTATAATATCAAGTATGTGAGGAAAACCAGCTCTTTAAACATGGGTTCTCTTTTCTTGGGTGGAGTGCCTGAGGTTGTTGAATAACACCACCCAACTACAGTGTAGCATTCAAAGCATAACCTCATTGGATCACAATGTAACAGTGAAATCAGAGGAGCAGCGAAATAAAGCACATTACCCATTACTGAGCGACTACTACAGTCACACAAGGTATCAGACTGTACAAGTCATAAAATGAGCACAGTAAAGTTATGTCTCACCTTGAGAAACGTTTCTCAGCTCCTGTCCGTTCTGGATGGACTGGATCGTTTCCAGGATCAGCTCCCTCTCCTGCTCCATGGCCGATGCTGTTTCGCGTAAAGCCTCCACCCTAAAACACACCGACAACAACACATGACCACCGGCTTCCATTTAAAAACCACATCCTCCTCTGGAAAAATAACGGACTGTTGCAAATCGAGAGTAAAAATAACAAGACCATCTGGTATTATAATATATTAACATTTTAGAGTATTATCTTACTAAAATACCCACATACACCCATTTATATTATCATGAAACTATTGAATTAGACCTGATCGACTACATCCGTTTTCTTCTACATTTCTATAGGCTATTTTGTATCAATTAATGAAGTTATGATATATGAGGATAATGCCTGAAAAATCCGCTCAAGTGCCCTGTTTAGATCGCACATGGTACGGCCTGTTACTTCACTGTACCTCATTTCCAGCTGATCCAAACTTTCCAGGAGTTGTCCGGAGCGATCTGCCATGGACAGCGTCCTGCTGAACTTGCTGCCCATAGCGTCATTCATTTTCGCCTGTATTTTAGCTTGAGCCATGTTGGTGAATGCTTTTTAATATGATTGTTATGATCCGTGCCGGGGTGAAATCCTGTGTGCGATCAACACTCCTCTCCGTCCAGCTGACTACAGCAGCAGCGCCCCAGGGAGAACATTTCCTAACATGGGCTGCGGCTTCCTTCCTTCACTCCGTCCCCATAGAAGCTTCCCGAGGAGTCCAGATACAGTGGTAACCAAAGTCAGGTCCGAGGACCCCTGCAGGCCCCTGAGAAGCTCCAGAAGATTCCCAGAAGTGCTCGTTTGTATGGCAAGCCGATTTATCTTTTATTCATTTCTGGAGGATATAAAAAAAAAAATCTATTCTTACTAGTAAGAATGCAAATTCTTGATATCAAAAATTCAATTCTTACTAGTAATGATGTTTATTTCTGATATCATTGAATTTGAACTAGTTCAAATGCCAATTTCTGATATCAGTAATTCAATTGTTACTAGTTACAATTACATTTGAACTAGTAAAAATACCAATTTCTGATATCAAGAATTCAATTTCAACTAGTCGAAATGCCAATTGTTGATATCAGAAATACAATTTGAACTAGTTGAAAATCCTTTTTTTGATATCAGGAATTCAGTTGTTACTAGTTAAAATTCAATTTGTATTTATAACTAGTTACAATTGAATTCCTGATATCAAAAAAATGATTTTTAACTAGTTCAAATTGACAATGAAATGAATAAAAGCTAAATTGGCTTGCCATAGATTTGGCATTTTTTCTTAGCATGCAGTTTTTGAAAACAGGCAGGTCCTCCAATTAGTAGAATTTTGGGAGCCCTAGTGTTCCTTTTAACTGGTTAATTTTTAACATATAACATAAGATAAAATATGTGTCAGGGCAAAGGCGCCTGGGATGTGAGCAACACAATTCAGAAAGATAGAACATGTGGAGGGCATGTAGCCAGACTGTTACAATCTGTGTTTATAATGGTTAATGTTTCAAATGTGTTCGGTGTCACAAAACTGTACTCAGATGGGCATTTTAAAATTACATTCTGTTGCACAGCTTAATATTTTCAGCCCTTTAATCCCTTGTTGAAACATTCCAGCAATTATTATATTTTACTGTATTATTATTTTTGATATAGGCTATACTTAAAACAAAATTACCCACATAATAATTGCATAATTACTGCAACATAGAGAAAACCTTATTGCCATTTTGTAGTGCTAATCAGGTATTAAAGGAATCTGTCAGTTGTCAAATAATTTTTAAGACAACAGAAAACTTAAAGGAGAACAAACTGCTGTGGCTATAATTTCAGTTGCCCTTAAACAGAACTTCCACTGTCTCTACTTTCACAGGAAATGTTTACTATCCTAACTTGAAGAAGACTGAGACATGTCTCCATACAAACGTTGGCCCTGCTCCCTACGGCGTATATACAAGACACTGGATTTCAAGTCTGCAATGAAATCAGAGACTGCAATGTGAGCTTCAGTTTGCCCTGTGGTCACAAGTTCAGCTTCAACATTTTGCAGTGTCATTTGATGCCATCTTTAGCAAGTGTCGACACACAAGTGTTGAGTCTACACAACAGAAGCCATAAATCCACCGCCACAAAAAATACCTTCTGCCAGCTGCATCTGCTCTGAACCCTGTTATGTGAAAGCCCTATATCATCATTTTGTTATGTCATCATATATTGGGACATTTCCAAAGTGGTTTAAACCGCAGAAAAATTCAAATAGCAACTTATATTTATTTATTATATTCTGAACACAAATACTTAGGACAAATCATTGCAATATAATGTCAGATAAGCATTGTGTCACAAACAAAAATCATGTCTTCAAAACTCCAAAAGACTTCTTCCGAGAGCTTCTTCCATCTCTGTAAAACAAAAAAAGCTGAATATAAAAAGTCAAATTACACAAAATAAAAAACAAGAAAATGCAACACCGTAACTATGATGTGAAAATGTCAATTCAACCTAATAATTGTATGTTTTCTTTTTCCCCCAGAGGCTGCAGTAAGTTAAACACTTTTCTCAGGGGAAACGAGGAATACATGCCAAGCCACAAGAACCCTAACCTGCTGACTCTCTTTCTTCTTCTGCATTTGAAGAGGGTTCATGGTTCATCTCTTCCTCCGAATCACCTGTAAAAGGAGCAAAATAAAAGTTGATATGTTGTAGGTTGATAAAAATACCATCACATAATCTAATATCGTTGTCTCTTGTGTACAAGTAAAAGAAAGCTAAAATGTGCTTTTGCTATCTTATATATTGAGTGATTGTGATATGTATTGTTTATCACTTACTTCCACATGCTTCCTTCTGTCTGTCGGCCGGTTCCATTCTCAAAACCTTCACCACGGATTCATCTTCAATCTCTAAAATGACAAAATGAAAAAACAGGTTTAAAATGCTGCATGCAAACAAAGATAATACATGTTAATATTTTTAACAGATTTACCATTGGTGTCTGTTATGATCTCCACGGCATCGAGCACTGTTACAGGGGATGATTCTGCTTTTATGATTTTCCTGCAGGTCCTGGAGCTCATGCAAGGTTCCATTGAACAGTGTCGGGAGTGATAGTGTTTATGGAAACTCGGGACACTCGTGAAACTCTCCTGGCAAGCGTCGCATTGTACTTCGTAGGTCTTTTCCAGGTTCAAGGCTGCGTGCTTTGTGTGAATGTGAGTCTTCATCTTTGCATAGGTCTCCAAATATTCACCACAAAGAGTACACACAAAGTGACATGTTCCCTCAGAAGACAGATACCTCATGCATTGTGTAAATGTCGCTTTTTTCTTCTCTTGGCTCTGATTGGAACCCATGCATGGGCACCTAGTCTGACTGCTGCTTTCAGCAACAGCAGGCTGATCGGCTTCACTCTCATCCATACGGTAGTAGTCGGTACTGTGAAGACTCTTGTAGTGCTCCAGGAACTCGGCCTCTGTTTCGAACGGCATGCTGTCGCAGAGGCCGCAGAAGTGGGAGCTTTCCATCTGCCCGTCGTGCTCATTGGCACAGTGTCGCCGCACAGTGGAATCCTTAAAGAACTTCTGGGGGCAGTGTCCACAGATGAACCTCTGGAAGCTGTGGCTGCTCAAGTCGCTGCAGTGTTGGCGTGCGGCCACTTCCGAGTGAAAGCTGTCCTCGCACATCCTGCACATCCACATCGGCCCTTCGTTGGAAGAAGACGTCTCTGCTATGTTCTGTTGGACCGTGGACCCGGACGATGAACCTGCTTTGCTGCTGGTTGAAGGCTTGGTATGGACCTCCTTGGGCACTTCCCGTTCAGTGAAGTAGGTGTGTCCGCTGTGAGCCTCGGCCACGTGAGACATGATGTCTTCGTACCGAGGCATTTCCACGTTGCACTTACGGCAGTTATACAGGAAGTTGGAGAGATGGGCTCCTCCGTGGAAGCGACTCATATGCAGGCGGGTGATGGCGGACTCCCCCATGTGTTTGCCACACACGCCACACTGATGGAAGATTTGGTTTGAAGCCAATATATGCTTTTTGGCTGTAGCCTCCTCTGAGAACTGTATGCTGCACTCGCAGATCCAGGCTGTTACATAGTTTCTAACAGCGCTGCCTCTCTTACGCTTGGCTGGAAGTTCATCACAATCATTCCTCTTCTTGGTTCTTTTTTGAGAAGGTGACTCAAGGCCAGTGGGCTGTCTTCTGCCCTGTGCCTCTCCAGCGCTCTGGGTGTGTTGAATTTCCCTAAACCTGCAGTACTGAAGGAGGGCTTGGGCCATGGTGTTGTTCACCTCCACGTCATGCTGGGTCGATTCTTTGTGTTTCTTGATTTCCGCTTGGCTGAGGAAGATTTTAGAGCAGAGGGAACACTGCCCGGCCACTTGCAGCTGTTTCATCACCTGCAATATGGTTTGATCAGCCAAGGACACGGCGCAGCCATCTCTGCATTGCACACTGAAAAACAGGAAATATAAAGAAAAAGGATTTGATAAATCAGCTTCATAAAACCTCTAAAGAAAATCTGCACCTGCTATACAAACATAATGTATTATTTAAAAAATCATATATGCACATACTGAATACATCTCCAAACAACGTACTTAAAGTGAGCCTTAGCTGCTTGATGTGAGATCAGTACTCTGTGACATAAAGAGCATCGGATTTTGAATGGGACATCCTTGCACAACGCGACGAGACGATTCTTAGCGTATTGTGGGACGGCAATCGGTTGTGCTCTTCCTTTGGGTTCTTTAACAAGAGGAGAAAAAGGAAAAGGTTTACATAAGTATTGCTCAAATATTGCCTCTCGAGTGCTTTCTAGAAGTCATTCTTTAGAACACTTTACCACTCATGGCGAGTGACTCTGTGAAGTGGTTTCTGGTTGTCATGTGCTGCAGGCACTCATCTCGGAGGTTGAACAGGTGGAAGCAGGCCGGACAGGCGAAACACACAATGCTCTGAAAGGTCTGAGTGATGCTGTGACCGTCAGCGGCAAATGAGGACACCTAGTGATCAAAACATGTTTCCTTACAAAATAATTATAATATTACGAAGATGTAATACAAACTAATTAAGAAATCATTCATAAAACAATATTTTTGTTATATGAGAGTCAAAAAGGGCACACACCTTGGACATGAGATGTGTTCTCCATGCTTCTTCAGTCTCAAAATGTTGAGAGCAGGCTATACAGGCAAAGAGCTCAGATGGCCATCCTTTAATATGAATTGTTGGGTCACAAGGGGAGTGATCAAACCTACAAATAAGATATGTTATTGCAAAAATATGTTATATTTGTACTCAGGAAAAACGTTGAAATGGTATTACACCGATACTGAAATGAACAGAAAAAGGTTACCTTTTTAGGTGACCGTCAAGAAGGGACAGAGTGTCATAAACTCGGCCACAGTTGACCACTGGACAAGTCTGTCTATTGGAACTATTTCCAGGAATAGCAACACGTCTGTTTCGCCCTCCAAATCCAGAATGAATCACTCCAGGTTTAGGACCTAAATATATGATGTAATAAATAAGATCAAATGTAATAAACCATTGTAAAAAGGGTGCTCTTTCATCACATTTCAATGATGTGAATTAAGGTAATTATTTCAGTAGGACAAAATATTTTCCTGGTAAGAATATCAAACAGCTCATGAGAGAAACATGTGTTCAAGGTTTATAAACTCCAGATTGACAATGTCAGTGATTATGCAACACATTTCTGATCAACATAAAAAACGGCACCTGCTCTCTTTAACCACATGTCCACACAGTTCTTTGCATCCCGATTGAAGCCATTTGAAGAAGTAAAAGCCAGCTCCTGCCGTCCATGAGCTCTTTGTAGGATTTGCTTCTCCTGTAAGACAGAAAAAGATAAGCAATAGCAGAACATATTTTTAGACTTGCCAACACTGTATGGCAGACAGACAGATGGCAGTAACAAAACCTACAGACACTGTTTATTGCTAATTATTTAGGTCACAAGCAGTATGATGTTGCACTGAGAGGATACACCACTGTTGGTTCTGTAGGTTGTTTATTATGCATTCTGCCCACAAGGTGGCAGTGTTGCTGCTACAACTGACCTCATTTGACCCCATATTATATAAACAACAAATGAATGACTACTAAGCATTTTATATCACATTTCCTCTAAACTAAAATAAAAAGCAAGTTATAGTATCTAACAAGCAAGACATGATAGCAGCTTACTTCCTTTTAAAGAAACTTACCTTGAATGCCCGACATTTATCTATTCTTTCCTGCTTCTCTAGAGCCACCGTCTGTGCTAGTCTGTCCAATGTTGATGAAACACGAGCTTTATTGCGGGAGATTTTATCTTCAATCTGCAGGAAAATAAAAAGGCACAGCGATTTTATAAACTCTAGACAGACACTGTAAAAACATATTCTATTCATCAACTTACTGTGCTTGCAAATGATGGACATACCTCATCCTCATCCTCATCCTCATCCTCATCCTCATCCTCATCCTCACCCAGGTCAATACATTCCAATACTGGTCTGCCAGGCCCCTCCTGAAGCAAATGCAAGACACCATGTCATTTAGTCTTATTAAACATATCTATATAAAAATCAAATAATGAGCAAACCTGTACAATGTGAAAAGAGGGATTTCTTTATTGCCCATGATAAGAGAGGTGATCTATGTCTGAATCACAGCATCAGTCATACGATACATGGAGCTGTTCAGTTAATCAAATACGATATATTTATGAATGATGTCTTAGTATCAGGCTACATCAAGGTGTTATTGCGCAATGAGTCATGTCAATGTCGAGAGATAGAAAATAAGCACATGTATTTGATATCTTATCCTTTGAACCTATTGATTTTTTTTAAATAAATAGATAGTGTACACTCGACTTACTGATACAAACTCCACTTCTTCATCCTCGTCTGCTTCAGTTGGAGAAGACATTTATCTGAGGGGGAAAAAACAAATGTAACTCTTGAAGCTTTAGTCCTTGAACATGCGTGCAGGAGAGAGGGACGTACTAACTAGTTCACTTAAGCAAGTCAGCAGTGGTGTAAAGTAACTAGGTAGCTACGCAAGTACTGTACTTAAGTACAATTTTAAGGGACTTGTACTTTACTTGCCTATTTAAATGTGTTGCTACTTTGTACTTCTACCCTACTACAAATCAGTGGTAAATCGTGTACTTTTGCTCCACTACCTTTATTTAATATCTTTCGTTACTTTGCAGATTTGAATGAATGATGTGAAATATAGTAAATGCTTAAATAGGACTTTGATTACACCCTGAAGCATACAAATAAAACACCTTTTCCAGCTTTGATAACACTTTAATGCATCAATAATTTTTGTCAAAAGTATACAATATATATTTCTTATGAAATGGGTCATCTGCATAATGGGTTATTTTACTTTTGGTACTTTATGTATATTTTAATGCTAATACTTTTGTACTTTTACTCTGGTACTTTTACTTAGATACAATATCTTAATACTTCTTCCACCTCTGCCAGTCAGGTGTCAGTACTGAACAACACCAACTGAATCTATAGCTAGTTAGTTTAGCGTTACAAGTTGCATGACATTAACCACACTGACTAAACGGCATCATCCGGTCGCCTGGCTAACCGAGTACAGTTGTAATATCCGGCCCACATTGTTAGTGTGTTAGTAAGGTAAGTTTGCTGCGATTGATGAATATTAAAATGTTGTAAAACACATCGGAGGGCAGTAATTAGATTCAGCAACTGTTCAGGAGAACTTTCATCTATTTTCAGCTTGCCCACGGCAACAAAACACGACTTACTCCGGTGTCATTCAGGTCAGCGGAAAAATGATGCATCCAATGTTTTGTCCAACATGGAAATTATTTTCTCCCTCGACAACCTACCAGAGTGCTAATTTTTAGGGCTGCCAGTGCTAACGGGTGGAAGCTACATTTCACAGTCTAATGAGCACTTAAATCACAGTGTTTTTGCACTACACCTCTTCCCCACTATTAGCATCACTGAGCACCGAACAACAGCACAGCGCAGCGAGGAAGAAGTTCCCGCCACAGGCATAGCTAGCTGCGCTCAGAGCCGTATGCTGCGCTCCTTCGATTAAAGACTTGATTCTGCAACTTTACGGCGATGTGAAGTCTCCTCATCCAACACTAACGAGTTCACTGCCTTCCAATGTTTCTGTTTCATCAACCATCTATGTGCAGCAACTTTAAAGGCAGCGAAATGAATGCCACACGTCCTGGATCAGGGTAAGCTAACGTTAGCTCTCTGACATGTATAGTTGCTACGTCTGAACTCGATTAAACGCATAAAAGGTAAACATGCTAAAGTTCGATTAAGGTTTGCTTTGATAAAACATGGTTGAAATAAACAGGTTTATGAATCTGAGCATGACATTACCCGCTCCTTATTCTGTTGGCTCCTCAGTTCGCAGAGTGTGTAGATGCTACAACAACTCAAATCACAGTTAACGCAACTAGTCTGGTCTGAAAGTCACGTGTAACGGAAGCGCTCCTTTTTCACACGGAATGTGCCGTAAGGACGGGGTTAATGGTGGTTGAAAAGTAACAAACGAAAGATCAAACTCCGCCCGTCTGTTACCTGGTCCGGGATGAACTGTGAAACTATCCCTAACTGCTACTCTATTCATATTTATTATGTTTTTAACCATGTTATAATAGATTAGATTGTTTTAGACACCTGGGCTGTAAATATGTACTGTACACTGTATGTGACTTCACTTCTATGAAACTAAATACGTTGTTAAAATTACTTTGTGCACAAACTATTTATGATTAAAGTGGATATGTGATTAATTTATACATAAATGTATATTATATTATATCATATTACTATTAGTATTCAAGCAATTCAAGCCTTTTGCATCAGTTGTCAAAGTCTGACGGGCTAATCTATGAACGTAGGAAAACCAATTTACAGAAAAGAACAGGAAAATCTGAGTATACTGTACAAATGATAATGGAATATGTTCAAGAATATATATTAACATGCTTTACTATTTTACACAAACATAAGACGTGTATAAATAAATGAAATGTGTTTTGTTGACATACCCAACTCACCACACCTCGCAATTAACTGTACAGGCATATATATATTTATATTAGTCAACTATTCAACTTGCAGAAGAAGAATCATCTCACTAAACTGAATAAGGATTCGTCTTGGACTTTCAAACAACACATTCAAAGACATTACCTGAGACTTGGAGAACTGGGATTGACGTTTTTCACTATTTTCTGACATATTGTAAACCATTAGATTAATTGATAATGAAACTAATCATTAGTTGCAGACCTACTTATAGGAAAAACATTCATTATACTTAATGAATAAAAAACGAGTCATAAAATAAATGAATAACCATATACAAACTTTCAAATTAGTTATATGTGGTTAAATATAGCCATAACAATATATTTTCATTATTATAAATTGACACATGTAATGTACAGTATGCTATTGGTTTATTGCATGTATGGATGTATCACATGTTAACATAATAATCATGTCAGCGTCTGGGCTCTTTTTTAATTTCCAAATAAAACACACTTTTCGCTCCTCACTTTGCTTGTCTGAGTTTTTCATCATTTCATCCCTCAATATCAGCTCATCCAGATATTACATAACCCATGTTGGATTATGATTAACGTTGGTCCCCCCCCCCCCCCCCCCCCCCTCTTCCTGAAAGTGTCTGTTCATGCACCTGACTCGTTTCAGAGATTGTCCACCAAGCTTGTAATTTAAACATATACTTAAAATAAACGTTATCTTATTAGACATTGTATGACCTATAATAATAATAATAATAATAATAATAATAATAATAATAATAATATGTTGTTGTAACATTTGAGGTAGGCTACACCATATGACAACAGATGTACAAAAGTCCCCTATCCACCAGGACTATTGAGGTTTACAAACATTAATAGGTCTGTATTAGTCTTAGTAGTGTTAATAGTGTGACAGCATGATACTGCAGCAGATTACTGCGATGCTCAGCTGAATCTGCTGACTCTCCCTGCCCCTGTAAAAAATAAATAAATAAAACGCGCGTCTCTGCTGAGTCATGCATCGTATACCTCACAATAATGATATCAATAGTGTGCTGTATACTTTGAAGCTGTATGCTATACGCTGTTGGCTCTACGATGCTTCACGTATGTCCGTCACTGTCTTTATTCTCATCTTGAGCTCTCAGCGACACATCGGCAGCAGAGCAGCCTGCTACTGTCTGAGGCAAAGGACTCTGTCCTACATCTCGCCTTACGATGATTGCTGCGGCGTTTTTGGTCCTGTTGAGGCCGTATAGCATTCAATGTGTGCTGCTGCTGCTGTTGCTATTGCTCGGGACTATAGCGACAATTCTGTTTTTCTGCTGCTGGCATCGCAAGCTTCGGAATGGACAACATCCAATAAAATCAGTGCTGTCCGGACGCTCCAGGAGCCGCGGTGAGTGGCGCAGGCCATGCGCATCTCCTCATCCTGACAGCTCATGTCTGTAAACTGCATGTTCTGGATGTGTTCATAGTCTATTTTATGTCTTATAGCCAGTAAAGCCAACCCTTAGCTGCAGTATGGGTTGTTGCATTAAACAAACGCATATAGATGCGAATAAGTGGGAAGATACTGAGTTTTTTTTAATAGTTTTAGCCTAACCTATCTAGAATTATTGTTGAAAACATGAATGTATTAAGACTATATCTGTTGTTTCATACTGTTAATGCTTGTTAAATGTTTTATAATATCTTCTGTTATCTGTCCTGTAGTGGGCCTCCGAACACATCATTTTCGATCAGAGGTAGGATGAACTTTTTTAATTATGGGTTTGAGTCAGTGCTCTGTAATAGTTAATCATTATTGGAGACATCAGGAGGTAAATGTGTGAAAGTTCTATTTAGTATTCCATATCAGCTTCTTAAGAATAACATATTTCTGCAAAAGCCTGTTTTATGTACTTTTTCAGAACTGCATGACTATTTTAAGGAGCATGATGTGCGCAATGCGCATGTGTTGTAGGCTATCAATAAATTATGTGGGTGATGTTGCAGTTTCATGCTTTGAGGAGGATTGAAACTGTAGACTGGAGTTTTTTTCTCCAAAACACATAAAACTGAGCTGAAAGTAAGCTGATAGAACGCCACCATATTTTACTCCACATAAAATGGGCTTATGTCATCATGTTTGATGGCTAAATGCGTCAAGTAGCTTCAGTCGCTGTATTTCCGTTTTACGCACTTCCCTTTCAAAATAAAAGTACAAAAAATGAAGTGTAAAAAAAGTGCATGAACACGGATTAAAACGATTGCTATCACCAAATTGCCATCTTTAAAATGAAAACAAAAGCTTTCTTATTAGATATAATTATGTTTAAGTAATAATGTTCCTGGCATGGTCTACAGTTTAAAGGAGTGGTCTGTAATTTCTTTCAAAATAAAACTTAAATGGGGTTGCATTTAAAGCACTAATGCCTAAAAATCTACTTTTTTGGTAATTTGCAGTGGTTGTGAAGTTCCAAAAGACAAAAGACTGCCCTTTGCTGGTATGTTATTGAACCACAGGATACTGAATCCCCACTGGCTCAGGACTGCTGCTGGTAGGGATTTAGTATCATGTTCAAGGGCACAACAGCAGTGCAGTGCTTAATGTAGAACAACAGTCCCCTGATTATTACCTTTAAAAGCATTAAGCCAAACAATGAACAACTCTGAATGGAAGAATAAAGGTATAACAAAGAAAACATAGATAATTTAGATTTGCTGAATCATCTTTCTCTATGAATCGAAATGTAGGTCATCTTCCATGACAGTGTGTCTCCATGGCTTAAGAAACATGAATTGAATCAGGATCATTGTTTATGATAAGAGCTTTTGATATCTCCTGCTGCTGAAAGTATGAACTGCTGCCATTTTGATATTTGCTAATGTTTCCCAGGGCTTCAGGCACAGTCCACGTCACGCCAGAAGGAGCATACATGCTCGAGTGACAGAGGAAAAGCCTAATCTGGTTGAGATTCCTGAGAGTGAACCAGAATCATCGTCGAGTCTAAGAAAACGCAAAGTAAAGAAGAGGGTCCTGCCAGAGTTTTACCAGTCTGTACAAGTCACCCCCACACGCAAACCTGTAGGTACCCCCTTTAACTGCAACCATGATAAATACTGATTGTATGTTTTGCTTGCTCCCCTCCACAGGAACATCAGTCTGCCTTTAACGCCGGTAATGATTCAGATGCTTGCTCAAGGACACAGGGCAAGTGTTTGTCTAGGGTGTAACCCCTGCTCTTAAATGATGCTCATTATAGGTTGTGTTAGTGTTGTTACTTTATTTATTTATGTATTGTTTAATGAATAGTAATACAATGAATATGAATCAAAAAAGCGTGTTCACTTGTTATCATAGTCAATCTATTCTAACAGAATTAACCTTTAGGTTTAACAAAACAAAGTGTCTAGGGACATTTATAGGGTGTTTTAAGATGATATACCTTTACTTAGCATAAACAATTGAACATCTCTGCAAATTCAGCCATAATGTGGTCAAAAATCCAACACTGATATTGGGCCATCTGTTATATTACATACATGTTTTATACATTAGCATGCCATTTATAAAGAGGATGCAATCTTATGTTGAAAAATTATTAACATTTCCAAAAACCAATGTATGTATCAAACATTCTAGTAGGCCTTTAGGTATTTTCCTGTTTGAATATGAAATGGTAATCCCATAACACATTTTGCTTTAGTTTGTTGTTATTTTAATTGGCATGCTTGTACATCTTTCTTTTTTTTTTAAATCTAATCTGTTCACAATTTACTATTGTGGCATAAGAACATTATGTATCCCTATATGGCTCAAAAGTCTAACTGTTTAAACAGTTTTAGGCGTTTGGTATTTCCTTTTTTGCATCGTTGTATCCCTGTTAACTTGCTGCATTGCTTCCAAACCGTGTGGTCACATTTTGCAATAGTTTTCTTAGTTTCAGATAGTGTAGTTTAAAAGGTGAGGAGGGAGAGTGTATAACACCTGACCCACATATTGATCCATTTCTTCCTGGAAGGTAACATCTGACTCCAGGAACAGAGAGCTGTATAAACACAGAGCCTCAGCAGGAAATGTGTACTTATGGGAACATAAGGCATAACCACATTGAACCCCTATGGTGTGTTGGCCTTTCTTTATGCAACGCTGCTCCAATCTGGGAATATCCTTTTTTATGTTCCATAGAAAATAATCCTTATCCCAGTACATCACCGAGCCTATGTCTGCCTTTGAATGTCATTTGTTGTGTCAGGAATACTATTATCTTTACATAATTGTTATCCGTACTCCAAAGGGCTATAGTTGGTTACATCAACATTTAGTGGAATATTTGACATGTCAATGATGTTTGAACTGACTGTGTTTACAGGAACTTATTGATCTGTGTGAAACTGATGCAACTCCTTGCTTCCATTACTTGTTTTGCAATCCAGAAGATAACAAAAACATCATACATATGAACGGTATCAGAGCCAGTTATCATGGAAGACTTATGTCCAAATGCTACAGGGGCTCCTTGCCATGAGTGAAACCAAATCAACTTCACTTTGACTTTCATTGATATGTATTGGTTCTGGTTGTGTACCTGTGGTGAGCATAATATTGACCAATATTGTTATTCTAATACAAAAATAGGCAGATACATTTCACATGTAACTGGCACCAACAAGAACAGCAATGTGAAGAAATGTGGAATCACAGAAACTAAAAGATGTTCTGTATATGAGCAGACTCATATTCATTGTAATATGAATATGTAATAGACGTTTATAGACTGGGACAGGCCTACATCAGCCCACCATGCATCATTCATGATATATTAGCATGGGTAGCACACTAATCTGTGCAAAATTAATAATTCAACATGATTGCCTTCAGATGGCATAATCTTATTTTTGTGTTTTTAACTGATAATCTCTTTGAATTATCCCTTGAAAAATTGAGTAAATCAGGGCTGCATATAAAATGGAAATGTATGTTGTAAGCTTTTATGATAGTCACATAGATGATGGTGAAGTCCTTATGTCTATTATTATGTTAGAAACAGCTCATAGGCCAGAATATTAGGTGTTAACAAAGATAACATATCTCTTAGTCTTTCAACTATTCTTATCCCTGCTCAATGCTCCTTAGAGAAAGTGGAAATTGACAGGGAAAAAATTCACATACTCATGTAGCAGCCTTACTAAGAATCATTACAATTTCCTTTTAGTGGTAGACATTTTGAATAAGCAGGAAGCTGATCAAAACTGCAACACTAAGCTGTCTCTTCAGCACTCACTTTTATCCCCATGAAAAGTGTAGCAATGATGTAAAGGCAGCTAATATTAACACTGTGTTGCTTTTATCAGTTCTGATCAAGCACTGAGAACAAATTCTGCTCACTACTGCTGTTTAAAAATAGAAAGTATGTCACGAACCTCATTCGAGATACTGACTGAAGTTTTCGAGTTCATCCTCCATGTGTGCTTTTCATGTACTATCTCCAAGTTATAACACCAAGATGATCCAGGATGCAGACTCATCCAACAATGTTGACAAGTCTTTGTAGGTTTGCATTTCCCCTTCTTAAATACTGTTTTATCATTTAGCAAATGAAGTGTGACTGATCATACAAGTATTTTTTGAGCCTCACCCCTCTCTTTCCTTAGGCTCCTTCTATTTGTTCTGTTGCTCAATCCCAGGTGTGGCAGGGTGCAGCAGGACATTGCAACATGAAGTCATTAATCTATAATTATTTCATCTTGAAAATGGTGTTTAATTATTACCCTTCAAAGACTCAAGAAGACATCAAAGAGAACCCTTGCAAGGATTCATTTAATGGTATAAAGAGGCTTCTTTAATTAGATTTAGGTTAAATTGGTTTAGAATTAAACCACTTAAACCAAGTATAATCCTTTCTTGTGCTCCCATGGTCCTCTCCATCCTCTCAGGTAATTAGCTCAACATATGTGAATGCTTTCACTGCACCCTGTGTGGTTAACACCCCATCTTCATTGCAGACACTTAAGGTGTTGTGTTCCTTTTAGTAGTCTACTCTGTGGATCTGTTGTAAAGCCGTCGCTATGAGAACCTCTGGATACCCCTTGTCCTCTTTTTACCCCCGCTTCTGATGTTTTTGTTGTCACCGAGCACCTTTTGTGCAGGGATGGCGCTCTAACACCGCCGTCGCTGTTGGGGCTGCTGCTTGTTGGCTACCGGGTGTGACGCGGAGAGACACTGCTCTCCCATCACAGTCCAGCTCTGCCTCGACAGCACACAGCGTACCATCCGTTCAGCCCTCTGGAGATCTGACATCACCTCACATCCTTAAATGCGTAGATAAGGGACGATATCGCAGCCGGAGCATCCCTCAAAGGGCGTGGCACAACCTTTTTTATAATTGAGGCGCATAATGTGTGACTAAAAAGGGTGTACTGCTAATAACCTGCAACAAGGATTGTTATTTTTCTTCCTGCTGACAGCTCACCATGTATACAGTGGTAAGTCTTATGGTTGTCCTGGCGGGGGAGCCAGATACTATTGATTTCACATTGCTATAATTTGGCTCAATCTTTTATTGTTATGGATCATTGCGAGCTGGTGGCCGCCTCACACCTACTCTCGCAGTGCGCACTTTGACCCGCGACGGTGAGAAATAAGGGGATTTGTGGCGTGTTATTCCTTCCCTTTCGTTTTGTGTGACATCAAGACAAGCATTGTTCCTTTTTTTTCTTTACCCCCGTTTTTCTTTTGTCTCGCAGAGCTCCAGTTCGGGGAACCCTTCCCTTCACTGCTCCATGTCTTCCTCGGCGGATATTTCAGACGAGGATGACTACAGTGTTAAATCCGGCTCAGCATCACCTGCTCCCGGGGACACTTTACCCTGGAACCTGCCCAGACATGAGAGGTCCAAGAGGAAGATCCAGGGGGGATCTGTGCTGGATCCGGCGGAGAGAGCCGTGCTCAGGATCGCAGGTGAGTCAGTCTTCCTGTTGCCCCTGTTTACGAGATGCTAATGTACTGTAGCGAGAACAACAATGAGCGAATATGCTGCATATGGAGCATACTGTATGGTGGGTGCATGATCTTATAGCGACTTGTTAATGAGTAGGCTATTTCTCCTGGTAGCCTTAACAGGGTCTGGGTGTGTGGCATGTGATGGTATTTTCGTCTGCTCTTAATCTGGATATGATGCTTTCCAATTTACCATTGGGTCTTGGATATGTGGTGCATTTCCAAGCTGCTGTTATTTTACATAACCCTTATAATATTGGATTACAGTTCATTAAAGGCGATTAAAGGGGCTCAAGATAACACAAAGTGTATAACGTCAAGTATTATTTGTTAGGATTAATACATTCAAGGGAATCAAACGAACTCAGGAAGCTTTCCTTGCTAGGTCAACTGGGCTAATTTTAATTAGGCTACCATCAAAATCTTATTTATTAAGAATTGTTATAGCAAAATATGATAATAAAAGTCAGTCTATTATGGACTCTGATAGTTACCAATGTGATGTTATACTGTTTTACAGCGCTTAATTATTTTATAATGATACTTTGACACTATTTAAGATTGCATAATCACTTAGATATCAGATCACGATTTGATAGGGACTTTTTTGGGTTCAGTTTCGCACCCTTAAATTAATCTGTGTGACATAGTCGACAGCTGCTGTGATTTAGACAGCAAATACAAGAGTATAATGTCAAACTGTACTCTTGTCAATCAATGTGTGAATAGTCTCTGGCAGGTGGAAAACAATGAAAAAAGATCGTGGTCCATGTTACGAGCCGGTACAGGGGACGCCTGACAAGGAAAAGCGTTTATTATTGTACACTGTAAAAAATGATCCACCCATTCAGTGTGATTTTTATATATTAACTTACTGAGGCCAATTTCTACATACCGAGTTAAACTACCAGATAATGAGCTTTATGTTCGGGAAATCATATTTAATTCGTATTCTATTTACATTTAAGACAACGTTTTGGCTCAATGGACCTTTTTAGGACAGACATCTTTTGCAGCGTATTACGTCCGACAGTCCTCCCTATCAATCCAGTGAACTCTGGGGAGGAAGTGTCGCCTATTGGCCAGAGCGCAGACAAGGGAGGGATGTAGGGCGTTTCCTTCAGTACAACAACAGCGCCGATCACTCTTGGGTCCCCGGCACATACACATGCACACAAAAACACACGTATAGTGCACACTCACACACACATACACGCTGTGTCCCTGTCCGCCGCTGGTGAATGTCCAGTCTGTGGAGCCCGGGTTATGGCTCAGTTCGCACCGCAGCCTTATGGACTTTCGGACGAACAGGAATACCTCCAAGCTTACGAGGATGTTTTGGAAAAATATAAAGGTAGGATCAATGTTGATTGGTTCTTCTTAAGGTTCTGGGACGATAACGAAATTGCCTGATTGCTGCTTGACAGTTCAATAAATGTCAGCCTGCCCCCTTTCTCTCTGGTGACTGGCTGGTCTTGGTGTCTTTATCCCTGCAGTGGAAAAGTGGAAATATTTCCTGCATGACATCACAATTAGGCTGCATTTTAGTAGTCAAGACAAAAGCTTTATTATGAATGTTTTGTATGATCTCAGCTGATCAATAGATTAGAGGTGTATTCCCTTAGTTTAGTTGTTATATTGAAATCCTGAGCTTGAAATGTGTCTGTCCAACCAGATGATCACTATGTCTGCATTGTTTATGTCAAATTAGAAGGTCATAAGTATCAATTTATTTGTTTTACAAGGCAAATTATATATTTTCTCATTTTAGGGTGAGTATCATTGACTGAATATTACTCAGCTGTCCTATGTGCTGTCTATAGGCAGGCAGGACAATGACATAGCAGTGTGAGGCGTTAGCTCATATCAGTAGCTCCTGTCACTTCTCGTAGCTGCTCCTTTTGGGTCTCATTAATTAGAGGAAATCCATCACATATAGGAGGTAAGGTCTATGTTACTGAGCGTCTCTTTGACAGCTCGAGCTCGCTGACAAAATCACACACGTGCACTCTGAGGCCATGGCCTGTGGAGCTGAATTCAAACTGACAGCAGCGGTTTTAACTCTTGTGTTTCCCCTCCACAAAGGGACCCAAAGTAAAACAAAACATGCAATAGTGTACTGAATGCTTGCCGTGAGCGTGTTCTCTCAGCTGTTGACTGTTGTAGCCAGCAGGGCCAGTCAGCTGTGGTACAGGGCTTAAATGCCTTGACTCTAATGGATCATATGATGTAGCATCAATAGCAGTCTTTAGCTGTTGTCTTCAGGCAGAGGAGCTGGGACACACAATGAGCTTCTATCACTAACTATCATTCTGCGTTTAGTTTTTACATGTTCGGTAGTGCATGTTGGGGGATAGAGTCTCCGCCAGTTTTTGGATGAACATGAACTTTGCTAAGAAGGGTAAGACAAATATTGGTATTTTCTTGATAATTTTACCAACAAATTGAAAAGTTATTGAAAGAATTGTTTATCTGTAGTTTCATTTAAACATTTTGTTCACATTTTATGTTTCTTATCAGCAAAACTGATTCAATTTAGTTTATTTTCTTTACTTCTCAATCATATTTTGCACATAAATGTGTGGCTGCTGAGTAATTGAACAAGAGACTTGAGATCAGCTGCTGGGCTATTCATTACTTTGACCAAACTCACCTAAAACCTTGTTTCCAAAAGTTATTTTTTAACATCATCGTCAGAAAAGAAAATACATTCCAGTTTAGGCTGTTATACAGCTCATAGTATCTTTGAAAAGCTGTGGCCTGCTTGTGTCAGAGAATTGTGGCACATGGAGAGTAAGCTGATCAATTACATTTTCTACGTGAGATGAAAATGTCAGAAGCTTTTATCATGATTGGTGGACATAATTGTATACAATACCATAGTTAGCAGTTTATTTGATTTAAATTGTCTTCCAAGGCATGAACATAGCTCAGAATTGTATTTATGTTTCCATTAAAAACAATATTTGCTTCTCCACAGCTGAGATATGTTTCCCTTTTGAGCTGACTAAGATCTGAAAAATCACTGTTTTTATTGTCGCTATAGTTTTATTTGCAGTTGCGATCACCAAGAGCCCCGAGCTCCTATCCATGTGATGCGAAGAGAATCACAGGGAGACATTTTTAACAACAGTAACTAGACAAACACAACAAAACAAACCAGTAAACAACCAGTGGGCCAGCTATAAAGTAGGTCTTTGTCTCATCAAGTAGAGATGGTTTATTTTAATGCACTGCGACTTATTTTGAACTCTGTTTTTGAACTCAGTTTTTAAATTTGTCTGTCCGTTAACAGTTTACGGAAAAATGGCTGTCCTGGTTTTTTAATAGTTGAAGGGTGTACACTAGGCGAAGAAAAAGCACAATAAAATGTGTAGCTGATCTCAGGTGGATAAATGCATTACTTTTCAGGGTACCAAGGAGGTGAAATCGTCCTTGGTACCCTCACGTGCCATTTTAGTCAATAACTGTGCGATGAGTTGATGTTTATGTGGCTGAGTGTCACTTGTTGTCTGGTTTGATTCTTGATTCATGAGAAAAAATATGATACCTAAAGGAAAAACATTGTGCAAGCTTCATAATAGAGGTTGAGTGCGATGTGTAGGGTTATGCAAGGAGAGATGTTCTTGTTAAACACCTATGTGACCTTTGATGAACTGATTAACATTTGAGAAAATAAACGAAATACTGTATGAAGTACTGAACTGTTTGACAAAAGAGTAGAGTTTAGGAATTTAAGTGACGCAGCATAATTATTAGTTCTTACTGCTCCAGCTGTAAGAATGCCACACTAATTAGGTATTGGAGTGAATACTTAAGAAGGGATTTGCTGTGGATTCAATGGAAATTCAATGCTGGCTTTACAATAGACTGTAAACTTGTGGAATTAGATAATAAAGGGGTTGTGCGACACATACTACAGTGAATGGCACTGGGCATTGGCTGCGTGGGAGCAGAGTTTTCCTGCAGAGCCTGCTCGACAGGCCCTCAGCGTGAAGGGGCCACTGAGTTTTCCACCAGTTCTTCATCCTCTGACATCAGGAAAGGTTTACTAGATTAGACATGCAGTGTTTCAGTTGGCTGTTTTGCAGTTATTTTGTTATTAAGTTGCCACATGGTGTAAATTGTTACATTCAATTTAAAATACCGTACATTTGAACCCAAATAAACATGGTTTGCCTGTTGAGAATCAGCCCTGCAGATAATACTCAGAACGTTATAATTCAAGCTGGAGAAAGAGTTTATATTTTAGCATATTTGACCTGCTTTTCTGTGCTCATGAACAGATTAATCTTGAAGGAAGTTGTGGCCAAATACTGTCTTGTTGGGTGGTTTATTTCATTCTGGTTATACATTCACACTACAACAAATTGACTCTATGTTTTTTATTGTATTGGAGTAGTTAAATAATAGTATGAATTACATTTAAAATCAAACAACATCAAACTAAATATTCGGTATAACAAAAGGTGAAGATTTAAGCCTGATCTTATTGTTCCTTTCTATTCAGTAACTGAAATTAAATCAATTTGAAGCTTATATCCTAAACATAATAATATAAAAATGATAAGTTCAACCTTTATTTTATGTGAATGTCACTGACTCAAAGAAAACCTAATGCCGGCTCTGTTAGTGGTGTGTTATACGAGGGTGTGGTCTGTTGTGGATCATTATGTCTTTATTATGACTTAATCTCTAAATAAGAGAAGGATGTGTGGTACATTAAGATATATTAATGAAACGTATAATTATTAAAATCCCGTTTTTCCACTTGTATTTTCATGCATTATCAAACACAGTGGCAAGTAAGAGAGCTTTGTGTTTTTTGCACAGTCACTGCCTTTGTGCATCCTCCTGAGCCGTGCCCAGCCCAACCCCTCCGCTCTGTCGTCAGCCCACTCATCACATTCAGATGGCCCACACACAGCATGCTGCCCTATGGAGACTGTCTGCTTCTGTAC